TAGCTTCCTTGATATGTACACTCCTTTATCAATCTGTGAGTCAATAAGAGTTAAGAGAATACATGTACAGTATATACCAGTGAATTGGTAAACCTCCACATGTATATTATAGTCATACATGTACATACAATTGAGCCAATAAATATTACACTTGCACACTGTACATGTAGCAACATTTACATGTAAATGCAATAAACATAAATGTACATGTACTCCATGCTGATACTATACATGTACATGTATACTGTACACTGTTTGTTATCACAAGTAGACTATTAAAACTTATTAATTTATTTAGGTTTCAGTACACTAAATTTTAAGAATGCATTGATTACATTAAATATAATAATAGCTATAGATTTAAATTTATAAAGGTATTTGCAGGACAAAAAATCCGCCATTTTTAATTTCTGCACTTTACACCACGCCTACATAACATCATAAAATTAACTCTTTGTTTACTCAATTTAGCTTCAGCTTAACAGCTCAAGTTTTTTGGAGGACGAGACTAGGTTTTTTTTCCTACTCTTTTAGTCTCCTCCTTTCTTCCTGCTGTCGTAAGGAATAGTAGCTCCAAGAGTGATACGTTTTATTCAGCCAGACATGGAAGGTTTAGCCAGGCTCAACCAAACCTCTACAATCCTTTCATGGAGGACTCCAGGCTCAGGCTCAGATACTACGGCACTACCAGGCTCTCCTGTAAACTACCAAACGAGGTAACTCTAATTTTATTTCATGGTTTTACCTTGCCAAGGAATATATGCATGAATGTGTAAGGAGGATGTACCATCGTTGAAGGATTGCCGGCAAGGGGACCCAATAGAAGGTCTTCAGGTTGGGCCATTGGGTTATTTGGGTATGATAGAAAGCACTCAGAATGGAGGTTGATAATTGCATACTAAATAGCTAGTAATCTTTGGCAAGTTCAGGTTGTGCAGCTATTGGCCAAATAAAGCCAGCCATTTTGGACCATTATGTGTATGGTGGTATGCTCAAATTAAAACCCACCAATCACTAAACACTTAACAGTACCCTCTACAATTACCAGCCATACGGTAT